AAAGATAGAAGACATGTGATGGCTCCTGAGATGGATTGTTTTTCTCATTCCTTCTGGATTGTTTGTCCTTGTAGTTGCCAAGAAAAAATTGCTAACTTACAGCATGCAAGCAGTATCTCACAAATGAGCAAAGCGTCCTTAAACATCCTGAAACTCTGGTGGGAGACTGGTTACAAGCCAAAATCAAGCACGAGAAGAGATTTATCTGTTATGGAGGGCTAGACCTCAGAGAGGGATCTGGAGCGGACCCACCAGAGACGGGCTCCTTGCCTCCAGAACTGAAAGCTGGTGATAATGTAAGAAAAATCTGTAGAGAACACAGATCCCCTCTTCAGGGATTTCCTTCCCCAAAATTTTTATATATTATGAAACACAGCTCCATGTTGACAGAATCACCCACAATTGCATTTACCACAGCTGCCCAGAAGAAGACATAATATCATCCAACAGTTAACATGTTTAGCATCTCAACATCTGGAAATGCAGACAGCAAACAGGAAGAGCAAACCTACCAACCACCACTCTGATCATTCCAGCCCTGCGTGAGGCAATATGAGTAGTAAATTAAGGTCCAGAGCTTTATTTCTTAGCTTCAACAATAAAGGCTCAAATTTTGCTACTGTGAGCAGGAATATGACTTGTGTGACCATGGTTTGGCCCCTGTGCTAGGTAGCTTTATCCTTTCAGCCGTAAAATCAAAAAGGAGAAGCAGTGGTGGAAATCTGACCAGTTTTCTGAAAGGTAGAAAGGAAATTTGGGACAAAGGAACCTATTTAATTTCTTTGGCCTCCTTAAGCTGTTGACTGATAGCTACATAACATCAGCTGAGTGCAACTAAATATACTACTTGCCTTTTGCAGTTGTCCAGGTAGATTCCTATATATACACAGCACAACTGTGTGAAAGGTACAGGACTGCACAGCACGTGGGGACAGTTGTATTGGCTGGGCAAGTCACATTCAGTGCTGGCTGGAAAGCTCAAGCACCCCTAACAATATTGGACTCTCTCAGAAAATCTTCACTGCCACTTCATTTATACTGTCTTTTAAATAGTTTGTCATTTAAGCTGTCTCAGATATGATGCAGGAAATCAAAACCCGAGCACAGGGATGGTATCACTATTGAAACAGAATCTGACTTCTCCTGGCTTCAATTGCATTTAGTTGTTTTGGACAGATCTTATTTTCACTCCTCTTAGCTGAAAAGGCAGCAGGTCATTTCCACCTTGCCCATCCCAAAGGACCAAGAGAAGCATCAACAGCTCTAAGACAAGTGGGAAAAGTCTGGTGACTGCTCTGCTGCCAGCACAGCATGCTGTTGTCGCATAGAGGAATATGCACCTCAGAAGGAGACGCTGAGCAGCAAAATGTGCAACCCTTTCTCCCAACACACTTAGGGGCCAAAGCAAAATAAAAACTATAGTCACAGGATGTGTGTTGAGGAAGACAGAGGATATATCATGAAAATGAATGGGATAATGCATTGATTAAATTAAAAATCTTAAAATCCTAGAATGACACAATGGTTTGGGTTAGAGGGGACTTTAGAGATCATCAAGTTCCAACCTTCTGCTGTGGACAGGGACACATTTTGCTAGACGAGCTTGCTCCAAGCCCCATCCAACCTGGCCTTGAACACTTTCAGAAATGGGGCATCCACATCCATCCTTCTCTGGATAGCCTGTGCCAGCGTCTCACCACCCTCAGAGTAAAGAATTTCTTCCTTTCTAATCTAAACCTTCCCTCTTTCAATTTCACTACATGCCCTTCTAAGAAGTCCCTCTCCAGCTGTTTTATAGGGCCTCTTTAGGTACTGGAAGGCTGCTCTAAGGTCTCCCCAGAGCCTTCTCTTCTCCAGGTTGAACGACCCCAACTCTCTCAGTTCATCTTCATGAGAAAGGCGCTCCAGCCCTCTGAATCATCTTTGTGGCCTATGCTGGACCTGCTCCAAAAGGTCAAAGTCCTTCTCATGTTGGGGGCCCTAGAGCTGGGTGCAGGACTCCAGGTGGGGTCTCATGAGAGCAGAGCAGAGGGGACAATCGCAATCATGGGATGCTCCCCTGCTCACTGTGACTCCATGCCATCAGGCAATCATAGGCACACGTGGTCCTGAACCAGGGCTAAAAAACGAAGGTGAAGAGCGGGCTTTCCTTCTGCTGAGCATGAAGTGGTTCAGGTTGCCTGCAAGACTACTTTAGAAAATCTTTCTGTGTCTTTAGTGTGGCTTTGGACTAAAAAATTAACTTTGTCTAGAAATACCAGGACTTCCCTGAATGACAGGAAAACATGCAAATGAAGGGTCCCAGTCACTTAAAGGCTTCATTTCCTGTTCTTATGTCTCCTTCAAGCTTAAAAGTTTACTGTTGCTTTAACTTTCTATGCACATAGCTATTTTTAGATTTTGTCTCATGGAAAATTGAGGTAACATATCAAAGTACTTTTAAAGGATATATGGTCCCTTGAGGGATCTAGACACATTGCTAGCAATTTAGCTGTCATGAGCTTTACTTTTTAGAATAAATATGGTGGCTTTCTTTTTTAACAACATTTTTACTACGATACTTTCACAGTGAAGAACCCTGGGTTTACCTCCATGAGTAGAGACATGCAAGGATACCAAATGAAGAAATGACAGTAAGTGGGAACATGGTATGTTATACAAGTGTTGTTAAAGGTTCGTGAGAAGATTCCTAACAAGGATGGTGTTAAATCCTTTTGTAAATAAATCATAACTTTAAAAAATCTATTACTTTATCTGCATCTCAGATTTTGATGGATGTTGCTCACTATTTTGTTAGTAATGTGAATAAGGCAGCAGGATGTTCTCACACCTCTAAAGACATTTCTCTCTTGTGAAATGATGGCCCACATAAGAAACTCACTATCTGTTTCTTTGTCTTTCTCCCCCTGCACACTGAAGAGATTCTTTGTCAGATGTGCAATCAATAAAAAACATATCTTCAGCCACTAGTAAATTTAGTTTATTAAAACACAGGCCCGACAGTTAATTCAATTGCCAGTAAAGTCATAGCATGATCAATAAAAAAAAAAGTGACCTCATAAGTGACATACATATATCTTCTAGATGCAAAATGATCAGATAATAAGGTGCATTGGACAGATACAAAAAACCCCACCTTGGTGAGATTAGACTGTGGCTAATTTTTTTCATTCCCTTGCAGTATTTAAAGTGTGTGATATCTCATGAGAGGGTTCAAGCTTGTCACTTGTTGCTGCTTAGGTCCGATCCTGACAGGTGAAGACTGTGGAAGAAGAGTTTGCCCCCTCCTTGCTGTTATGTGTCTGCTCTATCTGCACAGGTTGCTATCTCAATTGTGTTCATGCTGCAAAACAGTGCTAGTATTCCCTTTTTCACGAATAGCATGGGATCAAGCACTGCAGCAGTTCACATGACATCATTAAGTCAGCTCTCAGCTATGCTGCTGCGTTACTGAAACTAGGATTTGGAGCATGAACTTTAGTGAAGACATGATAAAACTCTGTGTTCACATCAAAGGTAGCATCAAGTAACTGAAATGGATTGAACATAACCCTTAGATAGTCAAGAAAAATGTGCCTTTCCCAGTGATTTGCCAAGTACTTTTCCAGCTGACCAGAAATGATTTGTTTTCTGCATATTTCAAACAGAGCTGAAAACAGCTTGCTCCGGCTATTTTTGTTTGGGAACAATAACATTCAGTTTATAGAGTGCTTTCTCCAGAAAAAGTTCAGAGCATTGAGAGAAGTATCTTCACTGACAGAAGCCTTTCTTTGAGTGAATTTCACAGGGAGGGAAGGCTTTCAGCATTTTTGTTAGTTTTCATATGAGACCAGCTGCTTTCCTGGAAAATATGACTAAACTTCTTGTCTGTTTTTAGTAAAAGATGAGGTAATTAAAAACAAAATCTAAATATGGTGAAACTGAGTTGGGAGTCTGTTTTCACTTAGGCCTGAAATTTAGAAAATATATTTTAGAAAATATTCAGAGACTTAAAACTATGGACGGCCATTTGATGAAATTTTGCAAAGTACACATAGCTGTAGCTTCCTGTTGCTTTCTGAAACAGCTTTCCTCCTTCTTCTCTGCTGCCCATCTTTCCTCCTGTTCCTGGCTTAGTTCTTCTCTGTTTCATTCATTCGTGTTTGATGTCTGGGAGTTCAAAAAAGCTGGAAGTTAATCTTATGAGAAAAGGGAACAGTTTCCTCCTTAGAGCAAGCAGGATGTGAGGGATTAGGCATGCTTTTGGCAGCAGTTTGCTGTCAGGCTGGTTTACCTGTGCAGAGGAAACCCTTCCCTAACTACCTATTTGGACCAAAATAATTTTAAAAGTTTGCCTTCGGATCCCTGCGTGGGAATTGGGTTGCTGAGCCTCGGCTTTCAGAAAAGCACTGGCAACACTGGGCATAAACACAAGTGTTGCAATGACCTTGAAGGAATCAACACACACATGAAGAGCTGCAGGGTGCAGCCTGGTGCTATGGGTACCCGCATCCTGCCCTTGCTGCCAGCAGTCACCTTACTTACAACACTCCATGCTGATGCCATTCCTTTGAAATCATTCTTTCACTTGACAATCAGTGAAATGTTAAGCAAAATACCTTGGTGGCTGGGTCAGAGTGGAAAATACAGAAATTTTAGTGCCTTCTGAGAGGCCTGAGCGAGTGCTGGATCCTGTTTGTCTCTCTGCCTTCTTTTTAAGTCGGCCTCAGCAGAAAGCATCAGTGATGCTTTACATTCCTTTATGTGCAAACCCTTTGCCAGTGTTTGCAAGAGGAACTGGCAGAGCCCTATGAATCTGTTGGGAATCACAACACTGCACCTTTGCGCATACCTGGAAATGGAGCAGAGAGCTTCAGGCACAGGCACTGAAGTGGTCAGGTGAGCAGTTTCCCTTTGAATCACTGGTTGAGTATTATGAAACAAAATAAAGGGGCTCTGGTAGCAAGGCAATTTCCTTTCAATCCCATGTCCTGAGGAGGGTGAACAGTAGAGGTATGTGATTACAGTATGTGATACAGCAGGAAACAGAGGAGGAAGAGGATGAGAGTGATGATGATGGTTAACAGTGCCTTCTTGTGATAAACCACCCTCTTGCTCTGTACAGTCCTGGACTTGAGCAAGGCTCTGATTGCAAAGACATAGCAGACAACAATTGTACAAAACAGCAGTATGAAGCCCACTTTGAGGACAAAGCTGTTCATCATGAAGAGCCTGTGTCTGTTGAAGGGGTGGAGGTCCAAGCATTTGACTATGGTGCTGTACCCAGCGACTCCCTTGCTCAACAGAGGGCTGCCAGCATGAAGATCCACATGGCTGTGTAAGTTATTCTTGCTGTTGGTTACTTTTCCATGTTTGAATGGGTAGATGATGGCTATGAAATGAACTATGCTGAGCACGGTGAGAAAATAAATGCTGCAGTACATATTCACTTACAAGGTGTAGGTCATGATCCTGCAGAGGATATTACCAAATATCCACTGCAATCCCAATAGGAAATATGTAGCCCGAAAGGGCAAAGTACTCACAAACATGAGGTCCAAAATAGCCAAGCTCTGCATGTATTTATTTACTAAGATCCTCTGCGAAGACTGGAAGAAAACATATATGGAGAGGCCATTTCCAACAGCACCCAGGAAGAAGATAATGAGGTACATGATGGAATAAATTACTTGTTTGAAGCCGTAAATCGAACACTTGAAGGAACCGGTAGTGAAGTTGTCATCTAGAGCCATCTTGGAAATATTCATAGTCTGAGCCAGGCTCTCCATTTTTCTGCCAAAGTGAAAAGAACTGATATGAGTGCGTGTTACAGACTGGGCAGGGAGTTTGGCTATTTGAGACTATTTCACTAAGGGCAGAAATTGCAAGATGAAGATGACGGGGGAAGTAAGGGTTAATGAGTAATTACTTGTGCTGTCACAGTAAATACACATCTAAAGGCACAAAGCCCCAAGTAAGCCCTAAATAATTTCAGTTTTACAGTAGCTGATTGTTGTCTCAGCCTACAAAAGTGTTGCCTTTTAGAGGTGAGTGCTATGTGTGTGTTTTAATGACAAGTCTCTGATCTTTGCTGTGCAAAACAAGCCAACTTGCTGTCAGCCACTTTGTGGCAGGGAGGTTTTGAGTCCCCAGTCACCTACCATGGGAACATCAAAACTTAATCAGAAAAGAAATCACTGTCCACTAGTAAGTCTGCATTTCAAACTAGAATAGAAAGACAAAAGAACTGAATCTGCCTTTTGGAACTAGTGAAATTTTTCTGGTATGTTTTTTGGCAGCATTTCCTGAGCAATGCCAGAGGTATATTGAAAAATGTATAAATTAAGGACATTAAACACTGTGTAAATACTGTGCTAGTTATGCATTGTTCCTTTTTTAACTTCCTCCTCCTTGCACTCTATTTGTTATTTCTTGTTATCTTCTGACGACTTTCCTTGTCTCTTTCTGAGAGACCTTTGCTTCATTTACCATGCCCTCATCCCCTTTTGTGCTAAACTGCTTGGCACCAGACAGTCATCTACACACTTTGCAGGTCCCAGGGCAGCCCACATTTGCAGCCTTAACAAAAAAGAGAAAATGGGTTGTATGCACAGAGAATGGTGTTTTTCCTCCTATGAGGATGTAATACAATCAAATCAAAACCACTCACCACTAAACCCTCTAAATAATATTTTTTTTTCTCCTTAGTGTCTATTTCCTTGCTGAACTCTTGATTCCTTCTCTCAGCTATTGTGGAGCTAGTAGTATTTTCAAAGGAAGGTTTCAATGTTGTTGCTTGTTTGACAGTGGGAGCCATTCCCTCTTTGCATCTACCAACCTATTCTAATGATGGGGCATGGAAAATTTTAGCCTGAAAACCACAACTACACAGCATTTCTAGAGGCATGAAAAAAACTTTTAACTTGCCTCAGTGAGAGTGATAATGTGTCCATGGTACACAACTGTGTTATATCTCTTATTCTGAACCTCAATGGCTTCACAATTTGAAACTAATTTATTTGCACAGGTAGAGTCTCCTTGGGGGTAAAAATGAGCTTTAGATTTGGGTGGTCTGGACTCCCAGTTACTCAATGTGCTGTAAAGGGGAGCTAATTTACAAACTCAAGCCATGGTGTGGGAGCCTGAGCTGCGTTCAGAGCAACCTATGGTATCTTCAGGGTGGTGTCTCAGAGTCTTTCTGAATCCCTTAATGTGCACCAGATGTGCTCCATCAGTCATCTTTTATCTGGCCCCACTTAGATGGGGAGCATGTGAAGCACAACCCTGGGCTGCTCTCCCAAAGAGAAGAGCTTAATGGATATCGAGGGTCAGCAAAGCCCTGGACTGAGTAAACATGTGCTCCTAAAGGAAATCTCCTCCTCATCTGAGATCCTCTTTTCTTACAGAGGAGAGAGGTAAAACACTCTTCCTAAGAACAAATCTTTTGCAATCAGAGGACTTTTAATGGTTTTTGGTTTTCTGTACACAACAACTGTCTCATATACATGTTTTCTGTGTGGAATCAAAGACCAGCTTTTCTCCTAATGGAACCTGATCTCCCCATTTTGCAGGCAAACATTGCAGCCTGAGGTACTGCAAAGGGAAGAGCCTTCTGACTGTGTTTTCCTATGGTCCAACCATCCTTGCCTTTGGAAACCCTAAAATACAAGAAAATATTAGTGAGGGGATCTGCCAGCTGTTGAAACATTCCTATTGTGTGTGAAAGCTGTGAGGTAGAGGAGTCAAATGAGGTTGAAGAACTTGGAACATGGACAAATTCAAAGTCCTGCTCAGCACTGTAAGTGATGACTTGTGACCCAATGCTATCTGATGATGTATAGGATTAGGGCAACGCAAATTTAGTTGCTGAAAAGTCCTTGGATCTCTGCACCCTTTGGAGAGCACTGCAAGCACAGGGCCTGAGGCACTCTGCTCAAGCTCCTCAAATGAGGGTGTCTAGCTAACAACTACTTAAAGCTATTTTGTGCTTTAACTGAACAAGTGCTTCTCAATTCTCTTTCCAGCTAAAGACCTAGACTAAAAGTAGATGTGCATGTGCAACTGAGAAAATTTGATATCATTGAACCTGGCAAGAAAGTCAGTACTCAGACTCCTCTCCAAGTTATCCAAACAAGTTTCAGGTTATCAGGGAATGTCTAAGAGAAAAAGACTGGAGACCAGTCAATGGAAAGCTCTTAACTACAATGGTGCCTACCCTCAGTAGAGGGCCAGCAACAACCCATGCAATTATGTTATGTAGGTGCTCCTATTAACTGTGTCTTAAAACACACAGATGAATATAGAAAAAGGTGAAGTGAAAGATATATTTCACACAGGACTATCTCAAGCAATCACAGAGGTGAAGGGGAGAATTTTACCCCACCTTGAATCCAAGAACTTTTATTAACCAGCTAAGGTTAAGAGATGGCTCCTAGATACACAGAATGACATATCTAAGGACAGGCAATAAACTTTGTTTTCAGCATGAGTGTCCAGAAGGTCTCCTGGATCAGGAATGAATAGGGTGTGTTCAGAATGAGAGACTGGACCTATGGGACCTTTTGGGGTCCCCCAAAAGAAGGAAGATTTGCAATAAGATCTAACAGCCCTCTGAGAAAAAAAAAGAGGGAAAAGGAAGAACTGAAATGGGACTCTCTCTTAAGTAGTACTGCAAGACTTCTCTGATAGAAATTCTCAAATAGGAGATTTTATTTTAATATATGATCTTCCCTGATGGAAGCTATCAAATGGAAGCAGCTAACACATGTCCTGAGGCTCTTACAATCTCCCTGGCAGGAGAGAGAGAACATCAGCTGAGCAAGAAAAAGGGAGCCTTTTCTGGAATAACTGCTGCATAAGTAGATTTGATGCAGAGTTTGGGCGGGTTTTTGTCTTTTCTTCACCTCTGTGAAGTCTTTTAAAAATATTCACAGCTTGAGTAGTATGGATTTTATAAATAAATATTTACCTTTCATTATAAAGTACATATATCTTATGAATTATATATTTTTATGATGAAGATATATTTTACCTTTTATCTTAGCCTGGCTTGAGTGTGATTTAAGGTAAGGGAATAACAGAAAGACGTTCCTTGCCTATGGTAAATCTAACACCCTTAACAAATGGATAGGTGTGCAAGCCACGTAGGGGGCTGAGAGAGCAGAAGTAAGAGGACGCTTGTTTAATTAAAGGAGATACTAAACTAGTAAAAAATGCCCCAAACCCACCATATTTTAAGCTCAGGATGCAGGTAGCAGTCTAGCAGCAGAGTAGGGGCTACCCTATAAACTGCCTAGGGTGTGATGTGTGTGTCTGCCTCCCCAGAGCAGGTGTTGTGTGTGCGTGTGCAGAGCAAGGGGCTGGGGACATGGAGGGACGAGACTGGCTGTGTCTAGGCCAGAGAGGCTCATCAAGAGCAGAAGGGAGCAGGTCTGCCCAAGGAACAGACCTTCTGAGGTATCTCTGTGTATCACTTGGGGATGTGAGAGAGAAGTTGGTGGTGGCTGTGGTCATTGTGGGTTCCAGGAATGAAACTGGAATCTTTGGGGGCTCAGCTATGAGGCAAGAAAGAGGCTCAGCCAGATTCAGTGTTTCAGTGCATGGGTGAGGCAGTAGAGAGTAGAAATTTAGGTATATGAGGAACGGAGGGAACAAGGCCAAGTGATACTATACGCAATGTAGGCTGAGGCTGCTGGTGCTTGCAGACTGAAAGATTTGAAGAGGAGTATTTAATCAAAAGCAATAGGGGAGCTGATGGGCATAGGAGGGCAAAGGGCTGGACTGACAAGACCTGTGAGGACAGTGAACTCACAACCTGTGCACCTCTGAAAAGGCCAGGGGAGAAATAAAGCCCAACTGCAATAACTAGGGAAGGCAACTCCAGCTGTCCACAAATCCGGTTGACTGCCACATGCTACCTTCAATGTCTGATCAGAAACAAACTTATATGTAATTCTGCACTGATGCTCAAAGCCAAGAAAGAGACAGGGGTTCTGTCAGGCTTGGCATGAGACCACAACCATGATGCAAGGAGAACCCCAAAGACCTGCAGGAGAGAGGATAAACAATGGGAGTCTGTGTTGCCATGCTACCAGCTTTATGGTAATTATAGTGTAGGATGCATGGGTGGAGGAGTGGCACTGTGCATGAGGGACTATATAACTTGCAACAGTATAAAAATATTATGGCTAAAGAGAAGAACTACAGAGTTCTTGTAGGCAGAGATCACATATTCCGATAATAAAAATACAGGACTAGGAATGCAGTACTGAACTCCCTATCATGATTATGACAGTTACCAGAAAACATTGAGTGAGGGTAGGAAGATGAAAGCAGGTAGCAACAGCAGGAATTTCTGGGCATGTTTATAAAAATGCAATGCTGCAGCGGAATGAGATATGATGTCCATATGCAACAACTGTTTGATTCCTAGAATAATTAGTCCTGCAAACAAATCCACAACGCAAGATGCTATTCTACATTTTATCTTTACTGCTGCATAGGTCTTTCTTCAAGCAGGTGTTGGTGGACGGAGCCCTGGACCGGCAATCACAGTAAGGCTAGGTTCAGCAGCATTGTGGGCCAGAGAAGCAGTCCCAAAAGGAGGAAGCCCACATAATTTTGGGGGTTGTTTAGAACAACAAAAAATTCCACAAAATCTGTGTTAGAAGCCTACATTCCAAAAGAAAGAGATATTTTAATAAATATTGAGCCCAATGTCTATCAGTAGAATAATTAGCAAGACGATTATAAGGAAAAGATCTCTGTTTAGAAAGCAGAAAGCTTGTCC